AACTTTCCTGCAGAAACATCTACAAACTATAAAGATACTCTTCCATTCTTCTCATGAGAATTATCTAAATTAAAAAAAAGATAGTTGTTTCTTAATTTTTCCTTCTTATGCAAAATCATAGAGACACACTAATATTAGAAAAAGATTTTAAATATTTATATAAAGATGTGTAATTAAAAACATAATTTGATGCCATTAAATTGTCTTAGGGATTGGTGGACAGCCACTGAAAGAAGTATGAAAGAACAAACTACAGATTTAAATATACTAGTTAGAATTCTACCTTCTCCACTTAGAGTCCATGTGGCCTTAAAATATTCTGCAACACATTATACTTTGGCTTCATCATCTGCACCATGGGGATAATAATAATGATTATGTGGTAGATTTGTTAGGGGGATAAAATAAGTCACCTCTGATGGTAAATTTTATGTGTCTTCCTGACTGGGCTAAAGGTTACTCAGATAGCTAGTAAAATCCTTATTCCTGGTTGTGTCTCTAAGTGTGTTTCCAGAAGAGAGTAACTTTTGAATTGGTAGATTCAGTGAAGAAGATTGTCTCCACCACTGCATATGGACATCGTCCAATCTGTGAGAGACAATACCACAAAAAGTCAGAGAGAGGGTGAATTTGTTTCTTTTGCTTGAGCTGATACATACATTTCCTCTTGCCCTCAAACAACAGAGTTCCTGGTCCTCAGGCCTTTGAACTCAAATTGGTGGTACCTGCACTATGGGAAACCCAATTTTGCTTTTGGACTCAGAATGACATCATTCATTCCCCTGATTCTCATGCCTATTGAACTCAGAGTGAATTACACAATGCTTTATCTTGTTCTTCAGCTTACAGATGACAGATCATGGGAATTTTCTGCCTCCAATACCAGGTGAGCCAATTTCCTATAATAAATCTGCCTATTTATCTAGCTAGCTATTGATTTTGTTTCTTGAGAGAATCTTGACTAATATGACAATCATATAAAAGTGCTAATAGAAAAACTCTAGCAAAGAATTAGTTCTCATTAAATATTTATAAGAATGAAATATAAATTATTTAAAGTTTAATTTCAATTTTTTGTATTTATATTAGATTATTCAAGAGGTTTGGGGATAGAAGAATAACACAATCAATATACTTTTTCATAAAACAATTCAATATACTCAATGCAAAATTATTATTCAATAGGATGATTTTTAAATGAACTGAAATAAAAGAAATATATCTAATAAACCTCCACATTTGGAGTGTATACTATATTATATGTAATAAAAATTCAAAAGAATTGCTTTGTGGTTTTAAACATATATCTAAGATTATGTTGTTACAGATTCTTAATCATAAATGGATTCTTTAGCTTGGAGAAAACATATTAAGAATGACTAAAGTAATATGTAAAATGAAAAAAATACATTTAATAAGATGGCTGAGTTTATGTTGTGCCAATCAATTTAAATTCAAATAATTTAATTTCCAAACCATAAAGGCTTAGATAAAAAATTCATTAAACATTTTCTGTAGTAGTTTGATGTGCTTTGTATTAGGCAGTAAAGAAAAAAAGACCTTACAAATTTGTTGTTGCATATTTTATTTGTTTTTATTGTCTTTCATTTATTTCTCTACCTCAGGTAGGTAGGAAAATTATTTTTCATTAGTGAATAAAATGCATTTGCCCCAAAAGTTGGATAAAAGTTGAGCAAATCCTTTAGTCACTGGTTTACAAAAGGAGAAATAACTGAAGGTTTGCTCTCTGAGGGGCAAGTTAGCTCAATAAAGTATTTTATTGCATTGAGTTTTCCCTAACAATTTGCTAGCAATAACTGAAACCCACAGTCAGGTCTCAGTCCATGTAATCTCCTCAGACATAACTCAAAATTCCTCAGTAAATGAGAGAGCTTTACTCTTTCTAGATTTAGAAGGATATGCTATATGAAACTTTTAATTAAAAAGAATCAAACTCAACAGAGTAATCAATCAATTACTAAACATATTGATAGTAATATAACTGAATAGTAAACATCTTCTATTACTATTCAAAAAGTAGTCATTGGCTTAATAGACCTATATTATTTTCCCAGTTTTATAAAATATGCCTAATTTTGGCTTTGTATAACAATCATTAACTTTTTCAATAATATTGCTTTAATCTGATTTTTGAAAAACAACTCCTGTACTTTATATACTTAAAGCCACATTTCTGCTTCAATTAATAAAATAACTTATATGAATTCACTGAGTTTATGAAATCTAATTTGACTGGACTTTTCATCTGGGCCTTACTATGAAACAAATACTATTAACTAGTGCTGGCATTTTGCTATTCTCAGACCTTCTTTTTCTGTGTTCAAACTACTCTTTATTTGGTAGTCCCAAGTGGAATAAAAGAACATGAGTTGAATATTTCAAGCTGTGCCGGTATGCATAATTCATGATCAAGTTTTTCAAAGAGAAATAGATAAGAAGTACTGAAAGCTATAAATTAAATGTTTTTATACTTAACAGAGGAACTGTATGAAGATCTTTTGAGTCTTTTCTCCACTGATACAATAAAAAATTATGAAAAATAACAAGCTGCTAAAAAAGAATCAAGGGAGACAGAAAGGGAAACGCACACACACACAAAGAGAGAGGGCCAAAGAGGTAAACAGAAAAACAGAAACAAATAACTGTCTATATAAATTGAAGAAATAGTTTTCTCACAAGTAATATATAAAAATGTTATCAAGTTTTGGCACAAGATATTTTCATCTTACTTATTGCTTCCATTTCTTTTGTGGATGCAAAGTGATTAATCAAGTTTTTAGAAGAGAACATTCCAACATAGCTTTTAAAACTACAGAATGAAGATAACTGGAGTCAGTCAGTCATTGATTTAATTGTTTATTCATTTTTAATTCCATAAATCTTTATTGAATGACCACCATTTACCTAGCTTTCTGGTAGGTACTGGTGGTATAAGGTTTACAAGTGGAGTGACTATATAATTTATCATTCAAACTAGTTCACTTTGAATATGAAAGACAATATTGGAAAATACTGGTACACAAGACATTGAAAAATAAGTTAAAAAGTGAGCCTGGATATATGGGGCCAAGATGGTGGCACAGCTAAATGTGGTTCTCAGAATCTCCCACAACCACATCACTCCAGCCAGGGTGTAGCCACACCTGTGGTCCAATGGGGGCTGATTCAGCAAAGTCACACTTCCTTCTCCTCTGCCTGCCATAGCTATGGGGCTTGTGGTGTTCCTGCCCTGCACCCCAGAGCCTGCCAGGTGGAGGGGCAAACTATTCTCCACCTGGTACACAAGTACCATGAACTTGAGACTGCCTTTTTGTTGGACAATTAGTGTAGGTGGGGTGGAGACGTGAGGTACCCCATGCATGTGCTTCTCCATGAAGATTCTTGAGCTTTCTTTGAAAAAAGGAGTGTAGATGATGTAGTGTTTCTGTGGAAGGAGCCTGAGGATAAGCAACAACCTAAGTGATGGATACAAGATGGCAGCAGAGTAGGAAGATCTTTCTGGCACTTTCTCCCAGAACCAAACTGGAAATAAAACTAAAGAGGTTAATATCCACCTGAAATTAAAAAAAAAAAGACTACCTGAAAAAGAGACTTTTAACCAAGGATAGCCAGAAACCAACTAGAGACTAGTAGGAAGGGTGGGGGTACAGCCGGACAGTCCTGTTTCCATGGGTGGCAGGCAGAGGTTATAGCATCACTGTGGGAGCTTCCTCCTGATAGGAGAGGAGCCATATCCCCACAGTGGGCTCCCAAACACAAAGCACCACAAAGTTTTGGGATCAGCCTCCCATCTATCATCCAGTAGTAAAAAGCTGGGATTTTTGTCTGCTGAGAGAGAGACAGAACCCACCAAAGAAAAAGCCACTTTTTTTTAATTAAAGGGGCCAAAACAAAGGTTTTATGTTCACGGCCACTCATTTTGGGCTTGGGCCAAGGGAGGGTGGTACAGGCTGTAGTTGTTGTGTGAGGAGAGTGTGGAGTGGGAGGCACAGGGAAGACACATGGAGCAGAAGCTTGTGGGATTTCTATGCTGAAATACACTCCAAGAACACAGCAGCCATCTTTCTTGAGAAGAGAAAACACCTCCCAGGGGAAAAGTAACTACCTTACCTTGTGCAAAACTGCTTGCCCTACCTTCTGGAATACTGCTCCTCCCACTCTTCATGTCTTTTTACTTTATTTTGTTCTTTATTGTCCCCCATCCTGCGTCTTAGTTAACCACTACTGAGGAGACAGCAACATAGGCAGACTCAGGGCGTGTCAGAGTCTGGCTTTAGCATGCAGTCATCCATACTCTTTTCCAGGATCCACACTGGTGCTTTCCCCTCATTGGAGAGCCATAGAAACACCCTCCTGATTTCCAGAAGGCCCAAAATATGGGCTTTGGAGGCCTTAACCACAGGTCTGTTAGGGGTTCCATCCCACAGAGTTCAGGAAAAAAACTCAGAACAGACTCAGATGAGTGTCTGGGGGGGTGGGGAAACACACCCACCATCTTCCCTGAAACCTGAAAGGCATCTCCCATGCCATTGAGAGGTTCCATTCCCCTAATTCCTTGAGAAACACTCTCAGAAACAATTAGATCAGTGACTAGCCTAAGATTGATGGAAGGCCACAGGCAGAGACAGGCAGAGTGAATCATGTGGTGCCTTGGGACATTTACAAAAGTCCCCTGGCCCCAGTGCCAATAAAACCCAGCTTTGCAGCACAGCTTGTCCCATATGTAATGCAACCAAACCTGTAGAAAACAGCCACAAACTGCACTGCTTGTGTCTTTGAAGAGGCTGACAAGGGCTAGTAGTGGACAGCACCTGACATTGGCTTCCAGCAGCCCCAGAGACATTCAAAGGGAAAACCCAGCAAGCAAGCATTACTATTCAAAGCAATTTATAGATTCAATGCAATTCCTATTAAAATACCAATGGCAATTCCACCCCATGGACCCACTACCAACAAATCAGCCTAGCTTCTAGTATACCATGTCTGGTTCCTTCAGTGTCAGTGCTATGAAGATGGTGATTCAACAGCTCTGGCTAGGTGCCAGGCTCAACTGGGTGAAGGTTTCCCATGCAGCTACAGATTTGAAACAATTCTGTCTGCAGAATGCTCAACATGACCCCCTGCTGACTAGAGTATCTTCAAATATCAATCCCTTCAGACTTCAGAATGTCTGTTCCTTTTTGTAGTGAAATAAATATTTGAAGGTGTTCTAAACCACTTTTCATGAACCAGTGAATATTCAAAGAGCTAAATTTGAAACCTGTACAAAAAGTTTATCCCCGTAACACCTGCCACACTATACAAACTTCTGCTTTTGTCTGTCCTTAACATCTACCTCTCTGGATTTTCATGAGTTTTTATTTCACAAGGATGGTTATTTTATATACATTGGCAGTAGCATACAAATAAATACTTAGTATAAAAAATACCAGCAGCATATTTTATGGATCTAGAACTAATATTCAATAAAAGCATATGGTAAAATCAACAAAATGTACAAGCAAGCAAAGTATAGCCAAAGACATTGAAATTGAGAATAGGCTGACAGTGATCAGAAGGAAAAAGGGGAGCAGATAATGGGGAAAAAAGGTGAAGGGTTTACAGGAACAAATGTAAAGGACATATGGACAACAACATGGTGAGGGGGGAATGGGGGAGGGAGGTGGGGAGGGTTGGAGTGGTGGGTAGAGGTAGGGGGGAAAGGCAGAAAACTGTACTTGAACAACAATAAAAAACTTTTAAAAAATTGTGTATGGAACAAGACCCCAAATAGCTTCAGCAGTCTTGGAAAAGGAAAACAAAGTTGGTGGGATCCAACTATACTATAAGGTCACTGTAATCAAAACAACCTGGTATTGGAATAAGAACTGACCATTAGATTAATGGAACCGAGTGAAAAGCATAGAAATAAACCCGTGTATTTATGGTCAATTAATATTTGACAAAGAACATACAATAGGCTAAAGACAGTTTCTTTAATAAATGGTACATGCAATGGAGCAGTCCATATAAAAAATGAAATTAAATTAATCTCCAACTTATATAATACACCAACATAAAATCAAAATGAATAAAAGATTTAAATACAAGTTGCAATACCATAAAGGTCCTAGCAGAAAACATAGGCTGTGAAATTTCAGAAATATCACAGCAATATTTTTTGAAGATATATCTCCTAGGGCAAGAAAAATAAAAGCAAAAATAAACAAATGGGACCACATCAAATTAAAAAGTTTCCACACAGCTAAAGAAACCATCTTCAAAATGAAAAAGTAACTGACCATATGGGAAAATGTATTTGCCAATGATACATCAGACAAGAGTTTTACCTTCAAAATATATAAAGAATTCATACAACTCAACACCAGGAAGGCAAACATTCCAATTAAAAATAGATGAAGGACCTGGATGGACACTTCTCCAAGAACGACATATAGACATCCCATAGGCATACAAAAGAATCCTCAACATCACTAGCCATCAGAGAGATCCAAATTCAAACCACAACTAGATACCTCAAACTGGTCAGAATGACCATCATTAATAAATCAACAAACAACAAGTACTGGTGAGGATGTGGAGAAAAGGGAATCCTAGTGCACTGTTGGTGGGAATGCAGACCGGTGCAGCCACTGTAGAAAACAGTATGGAATTTTATCAGAAAACTAAAAACAGAACTTCCTTTTGACCTGGCAACTCCACTGCTGGGATTAAATCCTAAGAATCCTGAAACACCAATTCAAAAGAACCTATGCACTCCAATGTTCATAGCAGCACAATTTATAATAGCCAAAATTTGAAAATAGCCTAAAGGCCTATCAGTAGATGAATGGATTAAAAAGTAGTGTGGCACATTTACAGTGGGAATACTATACAAAAGTAAAAAACAAGGAATTCTTACTTTTTACAACAGCATAGGTGGACCTGGAGAAAGAAACTAGTCAGTAAAAGACAACTATCATAGATCTCACTTATAAGTGGAATCTGATGAACAAATAGTGGAAACCAATGAACAAAATAGACCAGAGGCAAGAACTTGGAACGAACAGCTGTCAAAGAGGAGAGGGGTGTTTGGAACTGGTTGAAAGAAAGTGAAGGGATTAATCAAAAACATATGTGAATGGCCTGTAGATGTGGACAATAGTGTGGGGATTGACTGTGGGAGAGGAGGAGGGGTTGGGGCTATATGGAGGGAAAAAAAGGGGAAAATTGAAGCAATTGTAATAGCATAAACCAAAAAAATATTTAAGTTAGAAAAAAGACTGGTGTGAGGGACAGAGACGCAGAACAGGCTGAGACCACACCTCAGGTGTTGAGAAGAGTAGTCTTCATAAATTCTGGTTGTGAAAAACCAACAAGGATTGAAACAGAGGGTTGCTAAGGCAAGTCCTGCTCTGTGGGTCACCTCCTACACATCAGCTCCTCTATTGTAGTCATAGCATGTTCTTACAGCACATCCTCCTGGGAATAAATCTCTCCTAATGACATGCCAACAAAATCAAATCTCAGCTCTATCAGGACAGTGCACACCGCCTACACAGGAGTATGTGAAGGCTGTGCTACTGGGTGCTGCAGGACACCTACTACATAAGGCCACTCTACCAAGTCCAAGAGATGTAGCAGCTTTGTCTAACATATGGAAACAAATACTGGGAAGCAGCTAAAATGAAGAGACAAAGAAACAGGTCCCAACTGAAAGAACAGGAAAAATCTCCAGAATAAGGTCTAAATGAAATAGAGGCAAGTGAACTGCCAAATACAAAATTTAACACTGTGGTTTAAGGATGATCTTGGAACTTAGTGGGAACTTCAGCAGCATTAAAAAAGGACATAAGAACCATAAAAAAGAACCAGTAAAAAATGAAGTATACACAAACTTAAATAAAGAATAAATTATAGGCAATCAACAGTAGAGTAAATGAAGCCAAGAATCAAGTCAGATTTGAAATATAGCAAAACAGAAACATCCAATCAGAACAACACAAAGGGAAAAAAATCCAAAAAATGAGGAAAGGGTAAGGGGCCTTTGGGATAACATCAAGTGTACAAATATTTGAATCATGGTGGTGCCAGAATGAGAAAAGAAAGAGCAAATAATTGAAAACTTATTTGAAAAAAATAATGGTGGAATATTTTCCTAACCTGGAGAAGGAAATAGACACACAAATCCAGGAACTGAAGAAAGGTCCAAACATGATGAATCCAAAGAGGCCACCTACACAGAGACACATCATAGTTAAAATGCCAAAGTTTGAAGAGAAAGAAAGATTCTTAAAAGCAGCAAGAAAAAAGCAGTTACTTACTTTCAAGTGTGCTGCCAGCAGACTGTCACTGATTTCTCAACAGAAACTTTACAAGCTAGAGATGACTTCAAATAAATATTCAAAGTGATGAAAGGCAAGGACCTACAACAAAGATTACTTTACCTAGTGAAGCTATCATTCAGAATCAAAAAACAGATAAAGAGCTTCCAAGGTTCATCACCAAACTACACAAATTACATTATTACAGAACACATAAAAAGTCCTTCTTGAAAATGAAGAAAAAAGATAAAATTATGAAAAATAAAATAGTAATAAGTCTATATCTATTAATAATTACTTTAAATGTGAATTGATTAAATACTCCAATCAAAAGATATATGGTTACTGAGTGGATAACAAAATAAGACCCTTACATATGCTGCCTACAAGAGACTCAATTCAGATAAAAAAAAAAACACACACAGAATGAAAGTAAAGGAATTAAAAAAGATATTTAATGAAAATGGAAACAAACAAACAAAATCTGGCACAGTGATACTTAAACCAAACAAAAGAGACTTTGAAACAAAGACCTAGTAGTTACACTTTGTGGTATTTATCCTAAGAAACACAAAATACTAAATTGAAGGACATATACTTCCTTATGCTTATTGTACCATTATTTACAATAGCCAAGGTATGTGAGCAACCCTAGTGTCCATCAACAGATGAATGGATAAAGAAACAATGGTACATATATACAATGGAATATAATTCAGCCATAAAAAAGAATGAAACTTTACCATCTGTAACAACATGGATGAGCCTAGGGGGTATTATGCAAAGTGAAATAAATCAGACAAAGACAAATGCTAGATGATTTCACTTGTGCATGGAATCTAAAAAAAAAACAAAATAAACAAATAAGCAGAACAGAAACAGACTCATAGATATGGAGAACATTTTAATGGTTGCCAGATGGGAGAAGGTTTGGAAGGGATGGGTATAAAAGATGAAGGGATTAAGAAGTACAAATTGGTAGCTACAGAATAGTCATGGGGGTGTAAATTACAACAGAGGAAATATAGTTGATAATATTGTAATAACTGAAATTTATTGGTGTGATCACGTCATAAGTTATAGAAATGTCTAATCATGGGTTGCATACCTGAAACTAATATACTGTACATCAACTGTAATTCAAAAAATAATAAAGAACAATAATAAAAATTATACTAAGCATGGGATTTAAGTTATCTGTAATTATGTAAATAGTATGACATTATCAAAAATGTTTAATGAACATTAACTGCACATTTCATCTCTCTTTTCTTCTTAAACTCTTCTATTCACTCAAATAAGAATGTTGCCTAATTTTTAAAAAAATGCTACTCTCTCTGGCAAAGCAAGGTATATAAACACCCTATATATAAAACTTGTTCTTTGACTTTAAAAACTTCAAGGTATATTATTGTATAGTGCAAAATAAACATAAGACTGCAATGTATTGTAGTGTCATAGCAATGTGAATAGGCTGAAACTAACAAAGTTGTAGGAGGGCATGAATAATTTTGGAAGAAAATAACTTTAAGCTTAATAAAGGGTAATATTGATTCAATTACAGCTGTGTAATATTGATTAAATGTCACACTTAGAAAAACATCAAAACTAAATCTAAGCCCCAAACTAAGTGAATCAGCCAGAATAAAAAAGATTTTTGCAATATCTTCATAAGAAAAATAAAAGTGTACATACCTGTGTGCCCAAAGTAATAGAGTAGTTACAAAGATATATCTAGTCTGAATCCTAGGTTCGAAGTGTTATGAAAAACTGCTAAAGGACATTAAAAAATTCTGTTAACCTGATAAGATAATTTGACTTTTATTAATACAAGAGGCCAAATGATAGTTTTTTATTATAAATATAACAGACAGTGGTTCTGC